AATCAGCAGCAACAACAACAGGACAATTCAAAGGTATCAATTCTACTTCAGTCATCCATAGTCACTGCATAGCTCTCCAAAGCAAAGTAAGTAGATGCGAAGACCAGGGCCTGGATCAGGTGCATTTTAGTCTTAAGACTGACAATGTTGTTTTTCTGCACTTTGGAGAGGTCCCTGACAGCAGATTTTCCCAATGTAATTCATCTTTTGGTTTCCTGACTGCTGGTGCCAAGAATGCTGATTGTGAAACTAAGCAAACTGAAACTGTTAACAATCTCAATCTCTTCTCCAATTATCACGGTGTTGCCAATTAGCCCAGTGAGGAAAACCTTTGTCTTCTTGATGTTCAGCTTCAACCCATATAGAATACTACAATCTTTGACCGTCTGCAGCAAGTGCTTCAGGTCCTCCTCATTTTCTATGAGCATCTTGATATCCCATTCCTCCTCATAAAGTCCAGCCTCCCGAATAATCAGGATTCATTTTCTCTCCCTCTCTCTCTCTCTTAGTGGCAAAGAAGTTCCAGTAGAAGTCAAAGACATTTCTTTGTCTGAATGAACTACTACCATGAAATAGATTGAAAAAAAAGGTATCATTTTTTTAGCAACCAGTAGTTTACCAGTCCACAGAGGTGTCTCCTAAAGCCATCAAGATAGTGTCAGAGTATTAATAATTCCTAGAGCCTCAACACTAGCCAGCACCCACAAAGGCTACAACCCCAGGGCTGCTGCAGTTGCTCATAACAGATGAAGCCCTAGACTTCAACCCTGGGGTTCTGTGACCAAGAACACATGCTGGCTGGCTCCTACTATTTGGCTGAAGAGCTACTGTGAACTGAAGGGTGCTGACCATGCAGTGTTTCCTTTCTCTGTGCGACAACTGCTTCTTGGCCCAAGTATAGATTTCGCATGAGCACAGTCAGGTGTTCTGGAATTCTTATTCTTTTCTGGGTTTAGTTACAATTTGTGAGATTCACAAAGTCAAATGCCACTAACATACCATTATTTATCTTTACTTCTCTTCCCAGTGGGCATGTGAATATAAGAGACCTTGCAACACTTTTGAAAATGTGAAAGACCTTTCAATTAATGCCAACAGCAGATAGGTCGAATGTCCAAAGGAAGGACAAATAACATCTATTCCCTCTGTGGTTATTTTCAGGCCTGGGGCTATTCTGCTCTGTTGGCACAGTAAGTTACGTATATACTACTTCATATAACCAAAAGGTTGGCGGTTCGAATCCACCAGCTGTTTTGTGGGAAAAAGAAGGGCAAGCTCCTCTTATAAGGATTTGTAGCACTGGGAGGCTGACTTAGGGGTCAGGAAGTAGTGTCATGATGAGTCAGAACTGACTCATTGGCTGCTGATTTTATGTTCCAAATGACACAAACACACAAGGTAACTGAGGGAAGAAAGAAAGCCAAATTAGCATTACTGTTATTTCAAAGCAGGCCTTTCATTTACACATGGCGGATGAGGTGATAATCTGACCACTGCACTCTGGCATTTGGAGATTTCGACAGATCACGGTTAAATGCATCCACTTTTCTAGTTTAATATAGTAAAACAAAGTTGTCATCAGTGAGTCAGAACCCACTCACAGCTAGCCCTCTCTAGGGTTTCTAAGGCTGTAAATTCCAAATGAGAAGACTGCCCATCATTCTCCAGAGAGTGGTCGCCTCTGTTAGCAGTGCAATTCCCTAGGCCACCCCTGCTCCCTACTACAGCAAAGAAAAGGATAGTACACCTACCATTCTCCTTTCTTCTTCCTTAGCTGCCTTTTTGTCTTTGATTTGTTCCTGTAAAACCTTGTAGTTAACGTAAGCGTTTTTTGGAGGCTGAGGAGAGAGAGGGACAGAGACCATCATTCTTCTCATGGCAGGACCTTCACACTGCTCCTCACCTAACTCGCCCACCGCCATCCCTTTCCACACTGCTGTCTGGCTGGTTAAAGCAGACCAAACCACTCACCCCACTTGCCTACCACCTGCCCCTTTCCACACTGCTGTCAGGTTGGGTAAGGCACACCCAATTGCTTACCCTGGCACCCAGCATAATGGCACGCTCCTGTTCCAGAACTCTTTCCTTTCTTTTTCCATAACCCGTGATTCCAAACCGGTGCACTTCCAAGCGAGCCTGGGGCACAGAACAGAAGCTGACCTATGGACATCCCCATGATCTCACAGAAGACATAGCTGGAGGAAAAATGCATTTCAGACATGTTCTGTACAGGAAATCTCAAATGTATTCTCTGGTCTCCAAAGACTACATGGAGTAAGACCCCTGCTGTGGTGGTCTGAGTTCTGCGGAAAGTCTCTTGCAAAGTGGCAATCACAAACCCATAACTTCCTCCTCTTAGGTTTAATTGGCAGGAGGCAGCAAAGAATTCTCTCTGTATAAATCACTGATAGAACCAGAATTAAATGAGTGCAAAGGACTTTGGAATGTTCCGTGAAATAAGTTATGACCCAAAAAGACAGTCACTTCAACTCCAAACGGACTTTCTCACACCTTGAAATGGCTTATCATAGAAGCTTGTTGTGTATACTGTTGAGCTGGAACCGACTCACAGCTGACCCTCTAGCAGGTTTTCAAAGGCACTTAATCATATGGGAGGAGACTGCTCATGATTCTCCCACAAAGCAGCTGGAGGATTTGAATTGTGTGCCTTTGGGATTAAAGCATAGCTTCTTGCCACTAGGCCATCAGAGCATCCTAGGTTTCCATTAGTGCTTTTTTATTGCACCTGTCCCACTGTTCTCTTTGAAGATTATTCATGTCTGAAAATCTTTACAGTTTTGCTCTTTGATAATCTTATCATGCACATGGATTTTGGTTTGCCACAGTAATGACTGCTGATTTTATTTTACCCAATCTTTCATTCTAGGTGTTCAGTGTCTATGACCTACAATGGCTGGCTCACTTAGTTCAGAACCTGGAGAGAAAGACTGATGACCTACTGGTTGCCAGTAGACTGCTTGACTTAGCTGCTCTGCAGTCTAATGAATCACGGTCATGGTACAGAAAAATAAATGTTTTGTGTTTTTTTTTATTAATTTAGTTTGTTTATTTTTCATTTCAATGAACATCTACAGAGATTAAGAAATGTTTTCTTTAAAAACCACCAATAAACCACCATTAGCAGCTGAATTGCTTCCTCGTAGTCCCATTTTTTTCTGTGCATTTTTAAAAGCCTAACTATAATCACAAAAGGAATGTTTCTGCTTTTTAATAATCTTTTTTCTTTCTTTTTTAAAATTTATTATTAATTTCAATGAAAATTTACAGAGACTTTGGATTTCCATTCATTCATTGTTGTACTTATTTCTGCTTTTTAAAGTACCACACTATAGTGTAGACAATATAGACACAAAGTTTTCAGAACCATGGTTTTAAAAAAAATACAAAATAATCAAGTGAATGGTAGTATCATTTACTTAAACATTTCCTCATTTGTTAAATATCTCAACGTACTCAATTTACCCCCCTGTATTAAAAAAAAATTGTAATAATTTTAAAGCACATACCTTTTCTAAGTTGAATTCTTGTATATCCACATCTTTCTCAAGGACACTGGTTTTGGTCTGGGGGAAAAAATTTATAAAGATCACCAATACAATCAGTCATGGCTGTTTAGTTGGGCAGAATCATAGCTGAGCCTCCAGTGGGTACTCAGGAGACTGCAAACTGCATGGGAGCAGACGGCTCATCTTCTACTCATGGAACAGCTGGTGGATTCCAGCCTCCAGCATGGCATGGCCTCTGTGCACAACTCCTTATGGGCTAGGACACCAGAGATGTATTTTAAGAAGCATTGATACTTTGCCCTGTTCTAATAACCAAAGACTAAAAAGAAAGCAGTGCCTCTCATGGGCCGCCATGTATACAGCAGTCAGAGGTGAGGGGTGCAAAGGTTAACTGTGGGCAGAAAGAACCAAGGGCAGAAAATGTGCTAAGGATTCATCCTCTTATTTCCTCACTCTTATCCATCATTACAGTAATAACTAATAAATTTCTTGCAAAAGTGTAGACTTTGTTGAAAACAGGTAATAGAAAGAAATGATGCAGCAAATATTTTCAAAACATACACACCCTTATCCTCTGGCTATGGTGACAAGCCAGGAACTTGGATACAGCTCGAGCTTTTAAGGAAACGTAAATGATGGCTCAAGACAGAGCTGTCTTCTGTGTGGGGACATGGGTTCCCTCCCAACCAGCAGTCCTCATACACCCACAGCCCATTGGTCAGTGGAGTCCTGGGTGCTGCCATTTACCGGGCAGTTTTGATGGAGATTCACAACTAAGATCAACAAATGAAGTTTAGGGATCTACCTGCAAAGACTCAGCCAATGAAAGCCTTGTGGACCATAACAGTCAGATTTACAAATCACAATCAGAAGAATGCAGAGCCAGGCTGCTGAGCTGGGAAGTTATCAATGGCAATACACCATCACTGATGCCCAGTACTCAGTGCAGCCTGCACATGACACAGGACTGCAGCTTCAGACAAAGCGTCTGCTGTGCAAGAGAAAGAGACTTAGGCCCGAGCTGCCCACAGGTTATGTGTCATAGAGCCGCAGGTTCAGAGATGGCACCCACTCTGTGGAGGAAAAGGGAGACCACGCCTGGATTGTCCCAGGCTGCCTGCCAGGGGAGAGGAACTGTATGTGGTGTCAGCTGTGCCTGGGACGCTGCCCACACTGCCCAGATGGGACACAGGCTTCACTCTATAGCTTCTCATTCTGCAACCAGTTGTTTTTGTGCTGAGTCTGTGTGTGTAGGATGTAGGGCACTTCTGCCTCCCTGTAAAATGTACTTGCTCAAACACAGAGAGTTCAAACAAGCAGGGTGGAGTTCGTGGCAGTTAATTTTAAGTAGCTTGATGTGTTTTTTCTCTTGCAGCCCCTCTGATGGCTTTAACTGCCCACCCTTCTATTGGAAGCTGTGTAGCTGACCTCCTGGACATTCCACTCCTGCTATGGTGGCAGAAACCGTGAAAATGGTTTTTTTCTATCCATTATGTGAGCTCCTACTGAAGGTATGGTTTTCAGCTATCCTAACTGTGGACAAATGGTCTTGCAAATCATCAATAGCTGTGGGACCAACGTAAGAGAGCACTTTCCACACTGTGAGAATCGGTGGTGGAGAGAGGGTGAAGATACTGTAAGATACTGTGGCATTGCTATGAAGAGACTGTGGCAAGGTATAACAGAGGAACCCTGGAGATGGAATCACAAGGTTTTGCTTGTGGGATTGATAGAAAAGCTGACTTGTAACTGCTCTGAGGTAAATCTTGATGGACGAATAAGCAAACCAGAGGTTTATCTGTGTTGCTGAATTCAATATAGACTCTGACTTGAAGACTGAGTAGCTGTCTGAACTAATTTAGAAATTGTGTCTTGCTGTTACTCTGGCTTAGGACTGCTGGCCTAAACCTGGACTTGTGTGATTTCTTTGCCTTCCCCACTCTCGAACCTATTTTCCTTATAAACTCCACAATTGTGAGTAAAGTCTTTGAGTCAAGTTGCAATAAACACTGGACCCAATGACTGGTGGAAATAGATGCAGGAGGATGTGGGGTGGCACGTCTGACCATGTAGCTATTTGTATGGTACTATGGAGTGTTACTGATGGGGAAAATTCCCCTTTATGAAGTGGGCAGAAGTCAGACAGGCCTTCACCATGGCATCATTGCTCCTATTACAGACTGGCTGACTGACCAGCAACAGGAGCGGGAAGCAGGGGTCACTGTAGCTCTCAGTGACATGTAGCCATGAGGACAGTCGAGCTTGTGGCACAGAAGCCAGCACACAGTCTCAGGTGTGGACCCGTGATCCGGGCATATAGCTGGCTGTGGGCTGTTAAATACAACAATGCGTTTCTCATCTGATGCAGGAACTCTTCTTCACCTTCATTAAGCTTTTTCCTTTTCTTTATTATTCTTCACCAGGATTAAGAAGTAAACATCCCAATTAAGATCATAAAGACAACTCTGTCTGGGAATGTCTTTCTTACCCAATTGTTATTGTTGTTATGTGCCGTCAAGTTGCCTGTGACTCATACCAACCCTATGCACAACAGCCCTAAACCCTGAATCACTTGCCAATCTTACTGTCTCCAACACGCCCATCTCCATTACCCCAGTACTGAATCAATCCATCTCATCAAGGGTTTTTCTCTCTTGAGCTGTCCCTCCACCCTCCCAAGCATGACGTCCTTCTCCAAGAATTGATCCCGCCTTACAACATGTCTATAGTATGTCAGACAGAGCTTCAGAATCCTTGCCTCCAATGAGCAGCCTGGCTTCACCTTCTCCAGGATGAACTTGCTTGTTCTCCTAGCTGTCCATGATATATGTAATACTCTTCCCCAGTACCAAAGCTCAAAGGCATCAACTCCCCTATCATCCCTAGTCATTGTCCAGCTCTCTGATGCACAGCAAGTAATGGCAAAGACCATGGCCTGGATCAGGCACCCCTTAGTCTCCAGACTGATATCATTGCTTTTCAGTACCTTGGAGAGGCTCTGACAGCAGACTTTCACAATGCAATGAGTCTTTTAATTTCCTGGCTGCTGGTACCAAGAGTATTGACTATAAAGCCAAGCAAACAGAAGCTGTCAATGATCGCAGTCTCTTCATCATCCATCATGACGCTGCCAATCGGCCCAGTGGTGAGAATCTTTGTTTTCTTGTTGTTGAGCTTCAATCCATCTTGAAGGCTGTAGTCTTGGACCTTCTGCAGCAAGCGCTTCAGGTCCTTCTCAGTTTCAGCAAGAGGGTTGTGCCACCTGCATAATGCAGACTATTGATGTGTCTACCCCCAATCTTGATGCCACACTTCTTATAAGAAACACAAACACAGGCTATACACATGGATTTCACCTGCTGGTATGTACAGGAATCAGAAAGATTACATCTGCGGAAAGAATTGCTGGAGAAGCTCATTATCAGCTATGAAAACTAGGCCAAGTGCTGACTGTGGAACAGACCACCTATTAGACATATTCAAGTTCAAGCTGAAGCTGAGAAAAATTAAATCAAGTCTACAGGAACCAAAATTTGACCTTGAGTCTATTGCACTTGTATTTCAAAACCATTTCAGGAACAGGTTTGAGGCCCTGAAAACCAATGAGCAAAGACCAAATGACCAGATGAGTTATGGGAAGATATCAAGGGTATCATCCAGGAAGAGTGCCAAAGGTCATTACAAAGACAGAGCAGGAGCTCAAGGAACTGAAGAACAAATTCAAACCTCGAGTTGCAATACTTAAGAGTGCTTTGGGCAGAATATTAAATGATGCAGGAAGCATTAAAAGAAGATGGAAAGAGTATACAGAATCACTGTACCAAAAAGAATTGATGGACACAGAAGAATTTCATGAAACAACATATGAGCAAGAGCCTGTGGTGATGAAGGAGGAAGTTCAAGCTGCTCTGGAAGAACTGGCAAAAAACAAGGCCCCAGGAATTGATGGCATACTGATTGACTTACTTCAACAGATGCTGCCCTAGATGTGCTCACCAAGCAATCTGGAGGACAACCACCTGGCCTACTGACTGGAAAAGATCTGTATTTGTTCCCATTCCAAAGAATGGTGATCTGACAGAGTGTGGAAATTATTGAACAGTATCATTTATATCACATGCAAGCAAGATTCTGCTGAAGATTATCCAAAAACGAGAACAGCACATCAACAGAGAACTGCCTGAAGTGAATTTAGAAGAGGCCATGGCACTAGGGATATTATAGTTAGTGTTAGATGGATCTTGGCTGAAAGCAGAGAGTACCAGAGGAATGTCTATCTGTGTTTCATTGATTATGCAGAAGCATTTGACTGTGTGGATCACAACAAACTGTGGCTGACTCTGAGAAGAATGGGAATCCCAGAACACTTGATTGTACTATGTGAAACCTATACTTGGACCAAGAGGCTGTTGTCAGAACGGAGCAAGGAAAACACTGCATGGTTCAAAATTGGGATGGGTGTACACCAGGGATGTGTCCTATCTCCATCTCTTAACCACCTATGAGGAAAACTGAATTAAGTGTGTAAAAACATCCAAATGATAAAGGGTTCATTTTCTATTTATCATAACATAAAAAAACTTGTAGTTCACAAATCACAAAAATTCCTTTAAACATTTACTTCTGACATTAATTCTCCTTTCTTCACTCCTACCTTACCTGACCAATGAAGAAATGACTCATCTCCCTGAACTGGAGGAATCTTTCAAACACGATACTGCTAACAAGGCTGGACAGGTAACATGTTCTAGGCTGATTGATGGATAGATCAGCTTACAAATGGACCACCTCAGCCTGGTGATATTCTTGATAAGTATGTGACAGTTCCTACGAGGGTGATACCCAGGCCCACAGAGGAGAGCAGTGCCTGCCTACACCAGATCCCTGAACTCAAGCTTCCCTCCTGATCTGGGGGTGAATCTGGGCTTAGGGCTGCTTACAGCAAGCGTCAGCTTTTCCACCCCTCTCAACATTTCATCACACGTCTTAGTTTTCTATCTCTTGAGAGTTTCTGAGAACTTACTTCAGGTCTGGACCCTTGTTTATAATAAAACTCA